GAACCCACAATGTAACCCCCCCTCCTCCTATCTCTCCCATCGGATCATCCATATTCTCCCCTCTCCCCCCATTCACACCTTCCCCCTCCATGCTCTGAAAAGCGAGAGAAACTGTTCCCTATATCTTTGCAACCCAATTTCGTTATGGACTTTAGAGATATTAAATAATGAATTCTGTTTGATCAAAAAATTAAGTTTTAAATATCAGGTTTCCAGAATCAGGTTGCAAAGATATAGGGATGAGCAAATCATAGTTTGTGGCAAAAACTCCTTTTAATAGTCATTGTAAATATCATATTCAATAAATAATGTTTAGTATCCAGGTTTCAAATACTCCAAGCGGAATTTAGTTTTTGCAACAAACTCAAATTTTACATTACCTAAATCTGTCCAATGCAACCTAATAGCCTAATCCTTTGATATTTCAAACCGACAAAATTCATAGTTTTCTCTTTTCTAGGTCTTTGACTTTGTGTTGTAGAGATATAGAGATTAAAATATCCTATAGTATGTGGCAAAGCTCATTTTATTTGGCAGATTTTCTAATATTTATTATAGATATAATGGACTAGAAGAAGCTTTGATTTATTGTATGTAAACTGAGAGAAGAAGTAATAAAACATTGAAAGGGATAAGTTGTTTTATCTATAAGTACTGCATCTACACCGACTCATATTACTATAAGTTTCCTCAATACATGTAAGTGTAATATTAAGATTTAGATTATGTTTAAGATAAGGATTAAGATTGAGATTAAGATTAACATTTTAAAACGTGTAAATATTTGTATTTAAAGGCTCATAAAAGAAAAAGGGTAAAAACTAACAGCTAAAAACAATATAATTGCCGTTTTGAAAATTACATATCTAAGGCTACAATAAAGTATGATAAAGTTGGTGAGATAAACCCAAACCTAAGTCGTTGCGACACTTCAAAGTTGACGCGGTTTTTAAATATGATGAATAACTTTAACAGTTGTCTAGACATCGATGATTGAAGGTTTGCATGTCCGAAATACAAATTAAGAAACGATTAATAAAGTAACGACGAAGGAATGTATCAAAAATTCTCAATGATATCCAAGCTTCGTTGACTATTCTTCTATAAATATAGGATACTGTCTATTTTCTACACACAAGATTAGCATCTCAATAGATTATTGTATAGATATATCACATGAAGACCTTGTATGTCCTCAATAGTAATTTATTCATCCTCCCTGGGCCAATTCAGGTCCAAGTAAAGAAACTGTTATAGATATGTGATCAAGCATGTGTAGAATACATATCATCAAGGGGAATTTTATTGGAGGGTAAAATGTTGGAGAAAATCAACTTCAAGCTTAAGGACATATGCTATTCTACTTAAACTTTTAATTGTCGCTCTATCTATGAGCATATTCTCTTTGTACAGTATAAAACAAAAACAAAAAATGTCACGGATTTTTAAAGGCATTGAGTTTTTGCCACAAACTCTGATTTTCTAATTTCAATATCGTTGCAACCCAATGTCGTAGACCTTTAATATTTCAAACTATGAATTCTGTTAGATCAAATAATGTAAATTTGAAATATCAAAGGTTTACATCATAAGGTTGCAAAGATATAGGTTTTATAAAAACTGAATTTGTGGCAAAGACTCAATTCCTTTCGCGGATTTTTTAAATTTTACAAAACTCAAAAGCTTTTGTACACAATTTTTTGTAATTCTGAGCAACTATACAACTAATAAAAAGATACAAGTCGAAAATTGTCAAAAATTCAAATTGCGTTAATGTCCTTTTTTATAGTTCATTTTAGTCACTTTGTAAATATATGCACTAAGCTGGGGTTTTAAAGATTGAAAACAAAGTGAGAAGTATTTTAGAGTAAGCATTTATATATGATTCAAGGTTCTAAGTAAACAAATTCAGAAAGATTCTTAAGAAATTTTAACTTCCTAATTCTAAAAAAATTTTATTGGTATAGAATAGGTTAACCTCAAACAGTTTTTAAACATCCCAAACAGATCTAACAAAAAGGAAGTGTTATACTAATTTCAATTTTTTATCTAAAGAGGGACTGTTCACAACCATACCCCGGGTTCCTTTTATCAAATCAATGATTTGCAAGATAATTATTCTCCTGCAAGTTTGCAACTCACTTTTATAGAGAAACACTATTTGAACGAAATCGGTTTTCTTTTTTTAAAGAGATTTTTTTTGTCCCCAGGATATGATCGGGTTGTATACGATCAAATGTCGGAATTTTTTCTATTGCGAAAGTTTGGTGTTGTCTGGGTTTGTATATTGATCTACCAGGGGTTAATCTGGCAGCACATTCATCCATCCACGCTTCATTCATCCTTACACTCTGAAGGAAGGATGTTAATGTCCGTAGTTATGTTGAAATGGTAGATTCCTGCACGAGAATCTGTACCTGTTATGTTCTGTTAAATACAATATTATTATACAATTATCCACCGAAATTAAAGTGTCCCGAGCTGAAAACTTTAGTATGGTGGATATCGAGATCATTGCTTGATCTCCTCTTTGTATTAATCTCCAGATTAAATATGGTCTGTTCTCCTCTTGTTATTAATCTCCAGATTAATTGACAAATCGGGATTAAGGGTATCCCATTCTAAAGTTTTCAGCTCAGGAAATAATGTTTTTTGAAAGTCAAAAAAAATTCAGGTTTGGATAAAAATGATGATATCTTTAAAATTAACATACTTTTCATTTTTACTGATCTAAGAAAAAGATTTGTTAATTTGTTGGTTCCTAGCTGGGTTACCAACAGGTTTTGTGTAATATATATAAATCATGTTAAACTGTAGTGTAATATTGTTAATGCTAATAAATGCTAATAAATCTATCAATTATGACTGGTGCAGTTAGAACGTATTTATAAGGACAAGTTTCCGAATTTTTCCGGATCAAGTTTTTTCCATAAAGGCCTTCCAGAACGTTACAAAATGGTCAAAATCATAAACCATAATACTTTAGAAAATTAATTAGACGG